TGTGGGCTTTCCCTGGGCCCTCCGGTTTCCTCCCATGGCTAGAGACCCCTACGTGCAAGCGAAATATTGAAATAAAATTGAACCATATGTTAGTACCAAAATGACCTAGTTTGTGTCAAGTGGACGTTAAACCCCAGCTCTCTCTCCCTCTCGCTAATGGTCAATTGCACTTCTTAGACAATATCTATTTTCAAACAGTTTAATCCAAATTTATTCATTCATTATTCAGTTTGGATTCAATCAGTTGGTGTAGGAAAGTAGGATATTAAACCCTATTTCATTTCCTTACCCAAAGTACAATTTACCAACTTCATAAATGGACACAGATCACCAAATATTCCTACGCTGTCACCCACGAAACAAGGGCCAAAGCTATTTTTAGTCTTCCTCTCCCTTTTCCTTTTTCCCCCTTTTGCATGGTTTTCAAACCCTTTTCTGCCAGGTTTTGGTGAATATTCATAATTTTGATGCGGAAGGATACAAGAGTTGAGAGGTTGGTTAGGTTGAAATGTAGGGCCTGAAATTGCATGTTTACTTGTCTCTACTTCCAGCTTGTGTATCTCAAGTTTTTCATGAAGAACCTCATACGTGCTTTTGGGCAAGTGGTTGCCACATGTTGCTCCATCTGTGGTAGAAAGCGTTCTACCCAACGAAAATTTGGGAAAAAGTTAGAGCCGGTCTAAGATACGAGAATTAACATTGGAGTCAATGGGGAAATCTTTAGTGATCTGTGTCCAAATAGTACTGGTTACAGGCTATATAGAGAGAGAGAGAGAAATGGGGTTTAACGTCCACTCGACACAAACTAGGTCATTTCGGGACTAACATATGGTTTAATTTTATTTACATAATTCGCTTGCGCGTAGGGGTCTTTAGCAGTGGGAGGAAACCGGAGGACCCGGAGAAAACCCACGAGGTTGGACAGGCGACCCTACTCCTTGCCACGTACAACCGGGGATTCGAAACCACGCCAGTCGACTCAATGACAGACTTTATGATACAGCGCGCGCACGCTAACCATTCAGCCATCCAACCCCCCTACAGGCTATATAAAACAAGCATAAAGAAATCTCCTATCTGACCAGACTACTGTTATTTGATCTAGCCTAGTACCTGGTACTTGAGAGTGTATAGTTGATTTACTTCAGTACTCATTTCAAAATACAGCCTCATGTCATAACAAGGGCTGACAAGGGCATATCAGGCAATACATTCAAGAAACTTGAGCAGGTAGGGGGGGGGGGTCAGCTCAGACTTACAAAGTCTCTAAACTCTGATATGGTAAGCTAAAAGAAAAGAAGGCTTAGAATCTTTTCGCTATAAATAAGTTTGTCTGCCAACATGGGTATTGGCCAGATCATATATAGGCCTAACCCAACCCTAGGTCCATCTGCCTAGAGTAACATTACAGAATAACACTGATATAGGCAAGACATAAATAAGCAGACGACATATTTATAAAATCAAAACAATAATATTGCTATACTACTATGACTAACTGAATTATTTCAATAACAAAAGATAAGTATTTCGACCAAACCATTTGCCTATCTTGTATTAAAAAATAATAAAATTACATTTATTCAACCTTCCAGTTCATGTAACATCTTCCTTTCATTAGAGACAGACCCACTTAAATAAATTTGTGAAAAGCATTTTTTTATTTAAAATCCATACACATTAATTCAAGATGGTTAGATCTGAATAAAACCTAACTGTTATAACCTACTTAAACAAACATTTCATCCATGTTTAACCGTATATATTTATCCCCGTATTTACCTACGTATTGTGGAATATATTTTTATTTTAAACTGAAACCTGTAAGTGCAATGGAGTTTCATGAATAATTAAGGCATTGGCCAAATTACATTCGTCCAATTTAATTGCCTTTGATGTCACGCTAATTAAATTATTTGAACAGTGTATAGCGTAGAATCTGTATAATTATATACATACATATACCTATGTCATGATACAGGTATATACAGGTACAGGTTCAGTATTGAGTTAACATTCCTTCTAGAACATTTATATCAAATATCAATAATACAATGGTAAATAACACATGGCTGGTTTCAAAATTGGTTAAATATCTCACTATTCTCACATATATGTCAATGTGACATTCATTACGGTACATGGACTGAAAATTACCTACCTCCCCATCTGTCTATTCCTACCAATTGCTTAACCCCCATAAAAACCTAATTTTGGCTATATAATCCATGTTTACAAAGAGGTCAACCCTTCCCCAGGTAGATCCTGGGGATCGAGCTTGTGTACTTAGATGTTGGACCCGATAAAAATATATTTATTATCCTTCTGAATGGCAAGTTATTTTCTATATCATTTATCATAATGCTGACATGATTATTCCGATTCTCTGGAAACCGCAAGCTGAACAAATTACAACTGACAAGAAACATATTGATCGATACATGTTAACTGATCTTATTAACTGGCATACTTAATAGACCTGTGTGTGGAAGTATGTGTTATATAGACCACCATGTCTTTAATATCATTTAATCACCTGATAGGATTGATCACACCGATAAAACCTTAATACTGATCAGATTGTCAGATTATAAAACAATTAGTGAATTACAAGATTATAGCTTAAGGCTAGGCCAGATAATTATTCCTACACAGAATTTGACCAAGGCAGTGCACAATGTCATTAATATGATCTGATTATTTGATTGATCTCACCGATAAAACATTGTTGCGATTATTAAGTCACTGGACAAAAGAATTCCCTATCTAAGCCAATCAGATCCTAATTGTTTATTGGCTATTTCTTTATATTTTGGAATTTAATTTGCATAAAACAAAATCCAATTCATTACAAGCTTCTCTGTGAAATCTTGTAGCCCGTTCAGACGCTTATTTTTAAACCAGTTCATAATCGCTGGGGTTTTTAAGTCAGCATCGTGTTGCGTTCACACATACTATAAGCCAAACCAGTTTAACTCTTCGGTCGGAGGTTAGAGTTAACTACGCATGGGTAGCTTCATATTCTTTATTCGGTTCTCGCACGCTTTCGATAACAATGGCACTGTCTGACCCCGATATTTTCACAGGAATGTAACTTACTGCGTACTGCACATGCTCAAAGCAAGCTGGAGCCGGGGTATTTAAGCCAACCCGTTCAGACGGCTAAAAAAAGCTGGGGTTTTTAAACTGGTTTACTTGCTCCCCCATTTGCGTTCAGACACTTAAGTTAAACTGGTTTAACGATCCCCGGGGTTTTTAAACCAGTTCAACTTAAGCGTCTGAAAGTGCTATTGGACTGCGTCTTTGAATATCATCACAAACTAAATGCTGGTACAAGACATAAACAAAGTCTGGTCAACTCCAGAGATGATCCTTATTCACTAAATTTTGTTTAACCAAGACATCAATTATAATCAATGTGTCAAACCTACTCAATGACTCTACCCACTTATTATGTCTATCATTAATCTTTATCAGAATTATTATTACGTATTTTGACTATCCTTGTGATTTATTTATTTTAGTGTCACCACAAGAATGTTTATTTGAGTGTTGTATGTAACAATAATAATCCTATTATGGTCTGGCCATAAGGAAATAGGCTAGGTTATAGGGTATAGCTGATAACATGTTTCCTCTATTTGTTCAGGATTAACAACAATGAGTGAAGTTATTGTTGAGACAATGGCGATGATGTTACATGTTACAGTGATGACTGGTATCAGGGATGAAGCGAACTAGAGATCAAATTATGTAATTAACATTGTTTGTCAATGATAATCCTGAGCATTGGGCCTGAAAAAATTAATAAATGGGAAATTCATTGGCTTGACAATACGAATGTTAACAATATTGTCTCAATACTATATCAGTATTAGTGTAGCTCAATTTATGCCCAAAGATTTATGGTGTTTTGAATTTGTTTTTCAAGTACACTTGACACTAACCAGATTATATCAGGACAAACAAATTGTATATATTTTACATCTATGCTTACATGGAGTCTTTTTTCAGAGAGAGAGAGAGCGAGAGAGAGAGAGAGAGAGATGTGGTTTAATGTCCACACAATGCAACTAGGTCATTTCGGGACTAACAAATTTATTCAATTGTATTTCAATAATTCACTTGCGTGTAGGTTTCTTTAACAGTGGCAGAAAACCAAAGGACCGAGAGAAAATACACAAGAGTTGGACAGATGACCCTAGGTACAAACCAGGAATTAAAACCACGACAAGTAACAATAACAGACCTTATGATCTAAAGCACATGTCTTAGACCGTCCGCCCCCAACACTCCCATGGTGTGAGGAAACCAAGCTATCAGGATATACATGTACATGTATGGAGAAAATAAACAAGTTTAGGCAATGAACATTACTCCTTGTCAAAATATAAACCAATATTGAACCATGACTTGTATAATAACAGAGCTGATATATCTACAGTTCACACATTAGACCACTCAGCCCCTTGCAACCCCATCCATTTTTTAAATGGCTACGCAATTCAGGTAATATCAGACATATTTTAATATCTACATGTAGACTCTTGTCTAATGGTTTATTGTATTAAAGAAATAAAAGTTTTTAACAATAAATCTTTTCTGCTCAATCCTTGCAATCAAATTTCCATTTTTATTAAGAATGATTAGCCTAATGAAATTTGACAATGTAACAAATCAGTTCCTTTCTAAAACTGTCTACAATCATGTTATTACACAAAGTCAAGTTCAAGTGGTAACCCTAGAGTTCAAATAAGTCACTAAAGTTAAAGTCAAAGTATAATATAATGAGTATACGAATAAGTGTGTTTATTTTGTTTTGTAAACCAACTGACTGAGTGTAAGGTGATTCATATACTAAGTATAGAAGAAGAATAATAATGGAGGAGTAGGTGTTGAACTTAAGTGATAAAATGATAAATTAGCATTTTTACGATCTTGGGACATAGATTCCTGGGCTAAAAATATCATTTTAAAATTGTATTTATATTTTTAGATACCTTTGGAGCAACAGGTCCAATCTATTGCCAGAAGCAACGATTGTGTCTTGAGCTTCTTTATGCCTCAAGGTTTCGGCACCTAAGATCCCTATTTTCAAAATGATATCTCCTACTTGTAAGCCACATTTTGCTGCCAAACTGCCTGGATTCACCTGAAAAGAGGGGAGATGGGTTAGTCTCATTCAGTGATGTTTAGATAGTTGAGGAATTTGCTGTCTACCATAAAAGGCTGGTACACCTTTCTTTTGACTTACAGTGCCAAAAGTGAACCACAATCTTGCAAACGGTTGCCATAGTAATGCTGAAACAGCTGCCAAACAGACATGTACCTTCTTAGTTCAAGGTTAAATGAAGAATAACTATAATATGCTTACATGGAACATATTCATGTAAATCATAAAAGTATGTAATTCTCCAAAATTCTATGGGGAAATGAAAAGAAATAAATCTATTCATAAGGATGGAATTACTAGGATAAAAGAAAATCCTAATTAAAACAAGCCATGAATAATTTTAATAATAGTTCCCGGAGAAATTCTTTTGTATTATAAAATATAGTGGATGGGAATCATAAATACCGGGAAAGATCATTTCAGATAATGCAGATTGCTGAACTTCAAAAGAGAATGCAACAATTTAATTATAAGATGCTGGAATGATCTAATAGTAATATATTGGTATATTGGTCATACAATAAAACATCATAACTGATAAATCTATGTTATTTATCTAAATATTTGTTAATAATAGTATGTATGAATAATAAATATATTAATAAAACGGGCAGAATATGTGTAATAACTGTATGCCTTGTAGCCATAACATGTGTGATATATACACAAGATATACATCAGTAAATACCAAAGGGTATATAAACGGTGACCCCAAATACTATGAACCCCATTGAAAAAAGGTGTGACAGCATTTGAGTGAAGAAAATAGGTTACAGAACTTTTCAGTTAGGATTCAAACTTTCTTACTTATATCCTTTGTCATTAAAACTAGACAATATGTTTTGGATAAGTTTATCATTCATAATAATTCTTTTCATGTAGACTATAACAATATATTATGAATAAATAGTTGTCATTTACATTATCCATTCATTATTATTATTGAATATACCTATTCGATATATAAACATTTATACCGTTATTGCGGTATAAACTTATATCTATGTTATACTGACCCGGCAAGTTAACGAACTTTTATCGCGAATACAGTTTTCTCTGAAATGATAGTTAGGTAATGTATATTAAAGCGAAGATGTATATTGCACTCACCTTCTGAATTGTCAATGGACTGCTAAAGTCTTTTCCACCTTGCATACGAAATCCCCATGGTGTATTGGTTTCTGCCCTTTCTAATTTGGCTTCCAAGGTGAGAACCGACATTTCGGTGTTAAACAGTGTCCACTTGGGCGTTTGTTAGCCTTTACTCAAATGTGTAAAACCCTCTTATACTTCCTTGCTTTAGTTGTTACTGAAGAAACTAATACACGATTTCGATCGGATCTAGCCTCGTGTGTCACGCCTCTTACTCATTATCCTAGTTCTCTAGTGTTGACGTACTAGACTACCTGAGTCATTCGCGCACGCGGACGTTCATTTCCACCTACACGCTGATGTAATTTCGGCGGGAAATTTAATATCTTGATTCCTATTTCAAAACATACTTTTATATTTCTTTTGTAATGCGAACCAGAGGTGAATTCTCAGCTTGACCTTAGATAACCTTGATTCTTTGCACTTTTTATTTCTCCAAGGGGAGGAAGTAGACTATATAGAGGATATTTGTCGTATTAGAGTGAATAACATATTTTATTTCATCGAGAAGCAAGAAAACTTATATTTTCACGAATGCGTAGCATGAGTGAAAATATAAACGTTTTCTTGCTTAGAGATGAAAGAAAATATTATATTACATGTATTTGGCCTGGCGTCATTCTTCTTTATAATAATTTGGCGAGATATGTCCCATGTTATACAAGATAAAATAGTTCTGACTCAGAAATAAATTAATGTATCAATATACACTTTTGAACTTTCTCAAACTGTAGAGCGCACACAAAATAAAGGCGGGAAAGTGTGGCACATGGTAGTAATGGAATGGTTATGTTATCAAAAGAATATTTTATATTATTTAAAACCATTGATTGATTGATACGGTACATTCATACTATCAAATGAGACAACACGATGTGTATGCAGGCAAAGAAGGGCCCATTATGCTAAAACAGAATCATATTTATCTTGTGCTTTACCTATCTTTATGTCCTTGAATGGGACTGGGTTGGGCAGGTTTTTAAAAAATTATTTAAATTTTAATGGATATCAAAGATTTTGATAGTGTTAGTTTTGCAGTGTGGTACAGGACAGAAGGCCTGGCAAGGAAAGCATCTTGTCACTGGGAAAATACGAAAAAAATGACCACTCGTGTACATTATGGCGTGCACATAAAGGACCCTTGGCAGTTGGAATTTGACAAAGAGTAGGGTTAAACTCCGCTGTCTGGACACACTTTCATGCTTACCACACTGCCCATCTTTATTAGGTTGGTTGGTACAGAAAAGTAGGATGTTAAACTCCATTTTATTTCATTTCATTTCTCAATGCTTTTGTACTCAGGAAATAATGGATGGATCATGAACACAGGGAACAACAATATACCCCCACTTTAAATGTGGGCAATTACAAAGAGCCATGAATGGCCTCCAATCCACTATAATTAAATCCATTCATCCAAGATTACTATTAATTATATGGTTTAAAATGGGAAATAACTCTTTACATCTTACCTATTTCTTTTAATGACTTCTCTACTAGTTGCCCTCCTGAGATAGAAATAGTTCGGTGTTATAAGTAAAGAAGGTAGAATTTAAATTTTAAATAGAAAATGACATAAAACCTCAATTGAGTTTTCAACAGAATCGGACAAAAAAAAAATCTTAATGTTTAAATTTTTGGGAGTTATTGGATTTATTTCACATTTAAGTTGAAAAATGTGCTGTATGAAATATGATGTGTGTGTATTATATAATAATATCATGCTTAACATCATTTTTATCAAATGATTGAAACCTCTCAGTGACTGGTAAAACCATTACTTTATTAACAGTCTAACTAACAGTTATAGCTTTTGTCAGTATTACGGAATGGCATATTGATTTTTTGGTACATTTTCTGACGAACATGATGTTTGGGCATTTTTGTATCTTTTTTGGAGAGCTGGAAGCTTTCAAGAGAGATAAGGATGAATATAGTATTGTTATGACATGTTTCTCTTTATATAAGTGATATCCTTGTAAAATCCTATGCTTTCTCGTTTATCTTCATTTCTAGATTATATTTTAAAGAAACTATTTGAATTAATCATAAACTCCAAAAAGACACCAATGTCTTTTTTTTTCAAATCATGCACAGTAGACAGCAGAAGAGCTTAAGTTTTTACTTGATATTGATTCCGGGACTGACAAAAACAATCAATAAATTGTAAGTAAGGAAGCAGGAGCTTTTAGAGGTTGTTGTATGGATGTGGCACAGTATGCAGTATAAGGTGTTATAATAGACATATAGTAACTTGCTTCTCACAGATTGGTTGCCAGGCAATGAAACATATTCCCACACTGATTTTTTAGGTAAATAATCTAGATACTGTTGACATAACATAATCAAGGGCAGCAACTTTAGAAGTAATTAGAGATTGTTGTAATTGCAGGGAGCCATGGGGGCTAAGTGAGTAAGACACTGGCACGCCGTCCTGAAGGTCGCGGGTACGATCCCTGTGTTGCCGAGAAAGTTCATCAGGATATTTCGGTGTGTCGTTCCCCTTGTCAGTGGTGCAGGACGGGGCCAGGAAAGGACAGCTGTCTAGTCGTTCGGATGGGTCGATAAACTGAGGTTCCGTGTACGCATTGGCATGCCCATAAAAGATCCTTGGTAGTTGGAATTCGATATAAAAGTAGGACATTAAACCCCATTTCATTTCATTTCTATAACTGCAGGAAAGATACAAGGGACAAGGTTGCCAATGATGTGAATTCTCTAGATAACATCTCTTGCTCTTGTTTATTGGCATTCATGCAACAAAAGCTAACCAAATAATAATACGACAGGTCTTAATATGCCTATATAATGGGTGTAAATTTTTACACTATAAATTTATAGGTTCAGATGAAAACATAAAAGAACAATTTAGCATAGGTAAAAACTAGAAATTTATTCTTGGTGTAAAAACTAACAAAAAAGCATAGTTTTCTTTGCCCACGATTAACAAATATTTTGTGTTAATAAAATGTCAAGAGGCCAGCTAATATTTTGTGTTAATAACCTGTATATTATAACAGTGTGCTGGTCAATCTGGCAGTAAATATAAACTATCATATAATAATCTAATTAAATCATATAGAATTATAATTATTATCCATTAAATATCCAATTCAAATAGATTAAATTTGTTGTAAATGACTCAAATACAATTAAATGCATTCAGATATAACAAAATCACAAAAGTCATGGTTTGTAGGTTAACATTCAGAGATGTATATTTAGTAAATAATTTGTTCAAAATATTTTTCATTAAAATTTACTGAAGATCAACCTTAAACACGAAATCTGAGAAAATCATTAAATGTGAATTACCCGAAATTCAACTAAATCGAATAACCAGAAAACCAATCAAATTGAAATTCAAGAAAATCAAAAATTGATTTAATAATATAAAAATACAGCACCTTTTATAAATCATAATTTATATTTTGTTTAATTACTATAAAGTATATATGGTTTGGTACCTCACGCCAAGTTTGTTCACTAAATTACAGATATAATGATATGTAGTATGTAAATTCTAAGTTCTACTTATCTATGGATAATTAATATCTATATCTACATATTATTATTGCTATCACACTTAAATGCATATCACATTATATTTACATAATATAAGTTAGTTTATAATTCATAGAAAAAACAAACACTCCTTAGAAATGCATAGAGAACATGTAAACAAGCTAAAACGTATAAAAATCAGATTCTTTCAAGAAAAAGTCTGTTATCGAATATATTATATCATAATTGCATAGTGGCAAAGTGATCAGTTTCCTTCTTAAATAAAAAAGAAAATTAAACCATGAAAATATTCACACAAATGAAACAAAAAACCCACAATAATAACAAAAATATTTTTCAAGGTGTATTTAACTAAAAACCTTAAATAACATCCATTTCATAAACAGCCAAAGATATATTCTTAATTATTCAAAGAATATGAATAATTGTACGCACCAATTTTACTGGTGTAAAACGAGATTCAGATAATTAGAGACATTGTATTCAACAGGATTAAGCCATTTTCGATTGATATTCCTTTAAGAGATTCGACTTTCACAATATTTTGTAGTTTACAATCCCTCAAATGATGATCAGCTGCTTTAATAATATATGTATATCAAAGATATTTCTGACCAAATTAAAAACTATATTAATATTTTATTATGAGATTTTAATATATTTACAGAATGACCAGATTTGACACAAGTAGAATATCAACATTTGGAAATACATCTACATATTACATATTTTCTATATAAATGTAAGTTAATATATAAGGTCTATACTGGATTTATATTAACTGTTTAAATTATAAATAGTTTACTTGTAAACAGTGGTGTGCAGAAGTTTGCTGATGCGTATGGCGAACTCCTTGAGTGTACGCCCCGGAGACTAGTACAGGGCCCAGTACTCAGAAATACGAGAAAGGAAGACAATTTTAATGTCAAAGTAGGCCAGCTTCTATCACTAAGTTAACAGTGATAATTTCAAATTTAAAAAAAATTAATTTAATTTAACTCTATAATTGGATGCTGCCTCGAAATAGATGCCTGGGCCCATCCCCCGCTCTGCCCCCCCTCTCTACACGCCACTGCTTGTAAATTTACCATTATACCCTACATCCATTAATATTTTATGACTAAAACCGTGCATGATGATGAGGGGACAATAGAACAATTGTCTTTATACAGTGATTATAGTGAACAATGCAAAAAGGGAGCAAGTCAAGTCTTTTGTGAGGAATTCAATTCTATATTATAGTGATTCTAGAACTACCCTTACATATAAAAATATTAAATAAGGCACAAAGTGATTTTGATATCATCTAACATAACAAACATGATCAGGTCTATAGAACCACCAGTATAATATTAATCTATAACATCATTCCAGCTGTACTTTCATTCTTAGGTAAATGTTTTTCTCTATTTACATATAGCCTAACTTATCTGAAATATAAAAAAAAATGATGTTGTGAGAAAAAAATAGCAAACCTCGATATCGTTTGGTATTTATTGATAACTACTGTGATGTCTCCTAGAAGCTATGGTTTTAACTGACTTGAGAAAAAAACACTCTGATTTTTTAAATTTTTACCCTGTGCCAAATTAAGTTAGGAAGAGATATGGAAATGGCCCTAGTCCGTCTTTCCATCCCAATTTTGTTTCTGGAGCATATCTTATAAACCGTTCAAGATATCACTATGTAACTATGTACACACATCAACCATTTGCTAATTGAAAATTCCTAATATTTAATAATTATTTTGTTTTTTTTTGGTTATACAAGGATACAGGGTGACGATGACCGAGTCATCTTGTTTCAAATAAGAATGACAATCTCTATTTAAGAAAAAAAGACTTAAATGGGTAGTGACATCAGATGTTGTACAATAACTAAGTAAGTTACACTGCATTTTGCTGTATACGAGTCATATTCATTTTGATGTCTTTGTCAATCTTCAAATCCCGCTTAAAAACTCATCATTTTAAAATTCACAACAGAAATTGACAAAAACTAACAAAGAACTGTTGTATATAGTTTTGTATATGCAACGTGCATGCTCAGTGGATTAAGCATGATATAAATGGACATATTGTTATTATTAACAACTTGGAAATTTGTGAACATTCGACTCGGAATTGTAAAAATTTGACACAGAATTGTGGAAATGGCAAATATCATCTTCTGATTCGAGGACAAGCAAAGTAACCTGTGATGATTAAAACCGAACAGTGCTTCCCAAAATCATGGCATAACGATTGTTAATTTACCTGTATACAGGGACGGCTACCATGTCATTTCCTGGGGCCTGAGCCATTCTGCGAGCATGTGTTTCACAATATAATTTATCTTCCACAACAAAATAACCTACAAAAATCAAATTCATAAATTATCATCACAGACATTTAAGAATATAAATGAAATCTCATTGAACTGGTGTGAATAAGCCATCTTGCTTGTTTTAACCATATTTTATACTACCAGAACATAATGTAAATGACAGTACAAAAAGATTGGAACAAAAGTTATGAAAACTAACAGAAGCCTTCTCCACATACATTATTATCAATAGTTATTATAGCACATTTTTGCTGACATAAATAGAATCTACTGGATTCATAGAAATTAATTACTTACCTTTTTGTTTAAGATTCATACCACATGAGGTACACTTGAAACAGTCTACATGATAGGGTATACCTTTAGCTTTTACTATAACACCTCTAGAATAATAAAACATAACATGGATTAATGATTAGCTTTTGTAATAAACTATAACACATACTTATGGAAGAACAATTACTGATTTATTTGGGCCACGTTTCGAAGAGTATTCTCTCAACGTTTTCAAGCAAGTACAGTAACAAATGTGTAGAGCAATTATATATAGACAAGCAATAACAACAATTCAGAAAACATGCATGACAACAACAAGATCAAAGGATTAAAAAACAACATGATCAAAGATCATTAGCTTTTGTATAACAATTTCATTTATAATAAAATGATTTTTATAGCGGCAGTGTAGTGCACTGAAGTAAATATTTACTTTTTACGTCCGAATTGTTGTATTTTAAAACTTGTTGTGTGCGTATTCAAAGAATTAACCCAAAATCTCGTTTGAAGGTAAATAATGAACAACGATTTTAAAATATTTGAACTGATACTTTACAATGTTTTTGGTGTTGAAATTTAGCTTATAACCTCGACTTTCCATCTACTGGAGTGATTATCGATATCTCTTTTTAGCATGTACTAATAGAATTTCAAAGAAAACTCATTGTTTTTTTTTTGCGTTTCCATGGATACCAGACAAACCAAAGCCTATAGCCAAAAATTGTCCAGTTGCGTTTTTGGAATGTTTTTGAGCCAAGTTTGGAACATAGTTGGTAAACAAAAATGATGTTTTTTGGGTGATTAATATTTAGTTTACGACCCAAAATAACAAAAAATGTCATATCTTATCAACAAAAATGCATTTTAGATTGCTCAACGCCCTTAAATAGAATCTTTATTATAGTGAGAAAGGAGGGATCATATAGGTGATAAATATACATACGTAGCTAACATATCACATCCACCACATCTCATACTGGGTTGTTGGGGTTTCTGTTGACCTGGTGGTTTGGCAGCAGGAGCAGATACTGGTTTAAAGCCACCTATAATAATTCAATATATACCTTTACAATACAATCTGTTTGGTAATCAAAAATTATTTAATATGTTGTACCATATATTGTTGTACTTTATTAGATCAGTCTGCATTCAACAGACATATGCCTTGTCTTTGCAGGCTGCTGATACAGAGCTATGATGTAGCTTATAACACTAGAATTCTTAATTAAAGTTTGGTTTACTATGGCAAATGGTAGCTAACATCATGTTCGCTTCAACTCAACTCCAGGAAATAAATTAATTTCCTTTTAGTAATTTTTTTTAAACAATCAATTCAATCTAGCTCACAAAAAAAAAATATTGTATTAGCTGTGATTAACTCACGAACACACACCCGAAACTAAAAGTTAATTATTCATGCATCACACATCAAATCTATTTATGGAAACCAAGGAGGTATCATATGTATATTCTATACTCTCAGATGGAAACAATATAAAGGAAAAAACATATCAAGTGATAAAATAACAACACCTACATAACAACTATGGGATATAAAAAAATTTACCTTTCACAGAGATAATTTTGTTTGTTTTGTAGTTTGTAAAACCATTTGAGATAAGCATGGAATTTCTGTAGTTGGGAGTTGGAACATGACACTGGGGATAATAACCAGACACTATGCCATCAATTTTAATTGGCAAACTGACCCATTAAAAATCAATAGGAAATGTTTCCGAACTATTTTTTAGAGGTGCATTGCCAGACAAAAAAGATACAACTACCAGCAGCTTAACTACGACCTGTATATAAAGCTTGCCAACAAATTAATGTTTCAAAATATTTCTACAGAATCCAAGAAAGTTTGCAATGAAAACCAGATCTTAAAAACTGTGACATTGATTACACGGTTTTGATATCAAGGGCAATAACTACCAATATAATTGATGGGAGAATTTTGAATGGGACTTTTACAACCGGTAGTAAAATAATCCCACAGAGTTTACAATAGTTTACAAATGATCAATTCTATGGTTAGTTGAAGTTTAAGTAAGATAATCACAAAACCTTTTGATCTGTTCTATGATTACAAGGAGTTAGGACGGACAAATGGACAGACAGGGGCAATAACAATGTACAATGACATTAACATGTAGGTGTATAAAAATGCATTGGAAATCATGAAATGCTATAAATCAAATCCTATATCATCCACCCTTTGAAGCAGCCGCTTGATTTGTTCCTTACTGTGCCACCTTCCCCTGTTTCATACTTTTGTATCTGCCCTCCTTGTATTTGTCAATTGACTTATAAAAGCAATAAAGCAAACCCCAATGTTTTTTAGACAAACATTTAGTTTCTAGCTGAATTATATCTTTTTTCAATTAAAATCTAAAATGCATCTAAACTAAAACATGCAAACAACATACTCTCAGCTAATTCCTGGTCATCAAGATTTTCTTGCAGTGCGTGGAAAGACCGTGACTGTGCATGCGGATTAGTATAGCCCTTATATTGGGGAGTTTCCCCCTCTTTCCATTCTTTGAATTGGGCACTCTCCTTCTCACCTTGTGATGGTGGTGCTTGTGGACGGTACATAGAATCAACTTTACCACCTACTGGTAAATTATCTAAACTTAACCTAAAATATACAATATATTAATATACAGAAAAAAAACCCCTGCATAATATCTCTCTTAAGAAAGTAGGACGTTAAACCCCCTTTCATTTTATTTCTATCAAAGCCGTGCCATATTGCTAATATATAAAACAGATTGAAGAGATCGAGGGCAGTGTGTGACACTCAATCAGATTTTGTTTATCTTCTTCTTATCAAAATCTGAGATTTTGCATCATACTTGAACCAATATATAATTTTCATTTAAGGATTAGTCCCCTTTGCCACCCAGTGTTAAGTCCTCTTTCTGTTCAAATTCTCTCACCTTTACTACAAACTTCATTTCACAGCCACATATGTTTTTAGTTATTCTTTAAACCTAACCTGATATTGTTTAATATAGTTTTGTACTTATATGATAAACATGTATACGAGATATTTTGAAATTAAAAGCAGATAACAATGAGGCTCTATAACATGACTACATGTATGTAAAACACAAATGCACTAAGATTCATTTTAAATCAAACAATAATGGTCAAAAACAATATTTAAAGCTATCCCTTTCATCTTTAATGTTTTTATATCTTATCTCTTTCATTTCATTACTTTTTACAATATAAATATACTTTTTAATACAAACATTTTTTAAATCTCAGCAGGAAATGGAGATTGTGAAAATACAGTAGTCATTTTGGTTAGTAGGTGTATTGTAACCACTATATAAAACTACTGGGATACCAAAGAATACTGACACTCCTAGATAACTCTTGTGTCAATATTAGGGCATGAATCATGTATGTCGTCTGCAATGACCGGCCTGTTCTATTTTACAACTGGTACATATAATATCAATCAATAGATAGAGAGTTCAAAACATACAACTTTATTAATTGATTAAATACCTCCTACACATGTATACAATAGATCTTATATAATGTACTATTGAATAGTTTATATCAGAACTGTACTCATTAAAACTCCCTAATCTATATATTTATAGTGCAGTTGTAGTCAACAAAATGAAATGGGATAGAGAAAGATTTTGAGCTTGAGCTCGATGGGATTAGACAATCAGTAAGTTGTCCGCATGTTGCCTTTTTTTTGAGCTGGGTGCTGTTCTGAAGTAGTAGGCTACATGATTTGATGTGTTAAGTTATGGGTTCAAATCTTATCAAACCCAAACTTTCTCTATATAAATACCTATACTTAGATGTCTATGACATAATTTCATTGTCATCCTTGTAAGACATATAGAGGTAGATTTCACAAATTAAAAACACTTATATGGATATACTACTTCTGAATTTATAAACATGCTACGTTTGCATCACATTTTTGTTATATATCATTATTTGCTTGATAACGATACCTGTATGTGTACCGAAACGTAGCATGTTAATAAATTCAGAAGTAGTATATCCATATAAGTGTTTTTAATTAATAATTTCACTGTATTATATATGATACCAGTATAGCAAGGGATATGGAAATGGTTACATTCAATCCCTGAGAATAGTTGAAAATCACCAAGTTGTTGGCCTGTTACCCACAGTGACTATGTCTGCATCAAGTCAACAAAACATTTGGATATTCAATGATAACAAGATTAGTTTAAGATAAACTTAGATAATATTGTGAGACTCACCCTTGAACTTGTTCAGCAATGCCATGTGTTTGTTTGACATATGTATCGGCAATATTAGATCCTGAATATAAACCAATGGGGGTATTGTACTGGGAATGGGTGACATTTGGAATAGCAACTGCTGGAGCACCAAATGGTTTAGCTGCTCTGTTATGGCTACTACCAATTGTACATGGACCAGTCTGAAATATAATTTAAAACATTTCAAACTGTGATAAAATTTGGAAAGGGCAATACGCAAATAGTACGATTTTGGACTTGATTTGATCATCTAAGGAGCCAAGGGATTAATACTAGTTCCAGTGATATGCAGAGGTTTGGTGAATGCCCCCCCCCCCTTGGCTCAGAGTACAAGGCCTAGTACTTGGAAATATGAGACAGGAAGACATTTTAAGTATATAAAATCAAATGAAAAAATGAAATAAACATTTTATTGATATTAAGTTGGGCAGTCTGTACAACAAAGTTAACACCGATAATTTCAAATTTAAAAAAAATTCTTTCTTTTATCTGATGCCCCCCCTTATATGGATGCCCAGGGCTATTGTCCCTTCTACCACCCTCTCTGCACACCACTGACTAATCTTGACATGAAACCTTCTGAGGATTCTTCACAATTTTGGCTGCCAATTATACCACTCCTGTATCTATGGCAATACAGTACACATGTATATTTCCTAATACTTACATCTGGTTTATTGACTGCTAAAGATGTTTTTTGGACAGGAGCAAATTCTTGACCACCTTGTGTTTTGACTGGTTTAAGTTCAGCAGGTCGAAGTTCAGATAGATTTGTGACTTGAGGTTTCCAGATTTTGACTGCTCCCCTGTTGAAATAATAGAGTTATATTATCAGATCAAATGGCAAGGCCATCATTTCATGTCTGACAGGACAAAACTCCACAGTCTGCAACATTGGTCAATTTAAATCAACATTGGTGTTCTTATCTTACCGTGAAAAGATGGGCTTCTGATATCCAATATTTAAGACAAAATGGAAATTTTAAAATTGGCACATGAAAAGTGTGCCAGAACGAGGCTAAACATATCCCACATATAACTGATTAGAAATTACAATAAAAACAGAAACAATTGAATGTAAATCCATTTATATACATTGATATTACATTATTATATGCGTTGTGAACCATTTGTGTCCATTTCTAGGTACCAAAGAATAGAGATTTAGTTCCTTAATCTTGATTTTAGTTGTATCCAATTAGTTGTTGAAAAGTATGTAAATTGTAATTGGACACAAAAAAAAAAGTTTCAATAGATAAAGGATTAGGAAAGATTTTATATGACGAAAATATTGAAACTCTCACCTTTGAATCAACAACTGTATATCATTGCCGGATCGAACAATCTCCATTTTAGCATCTTCATGTGAAAAGTTATCTGCAGCACTGTTATTAATACGTAGAATGGCATCTTGTGGTTTCAACCCGCTTCTTTCTGCAACGCTGTTTGGCTGAACCTGAAACCATAGCAAGTATCAGCGATCTTTAAAAAAGTATTTTCATATAACATTACACAATTAACTATGTCAATTCATAACAAACCTAATTTAAATAGCCTAATCAATGTTTGCTGAAATCAAATACAAGTGCTTGTCTAAATATAACTAATTGTTTAGGCAATTATTATATATAATCAATAAACTAGACCTGCAATGCAGCCCATGGGACAATCCAGAAATATCATGGCTATTTTTCGCCAACAAAACTAATTTTGACATAGGTTGTCTTCATATGCATTAATAGTTTATGAAAGTTACAAATAAGTATCTAGAAATATGGAAGGTCTGAACACATTGCAAATAGATAGTTTTTATTAGTTTGCACTTTTTTTCACCTTGTTCAAAATGGAGTGAAAACAAAACACCTTAATTGCCTACCCCCAAAATTGTATTTAATAAAAAAGTTTAGAACAACACTCAAGTATTTTCTGAGATAATCCAGGGCCCCGTTTCTCGAAATCTTAACTAAAGATAAAGTCCAAATTTTAGTAGACACCTCAATTTTGATTGGCTAAGCACTAAAATCAATCTAATATTATCCAATCAAATTACTAAAATTTGGATTTTATCTTAGTTAAAATTTCGTGAAACAGGCCCCAGGATGTTACAATATCGAAAGGAACCAAGATCTCTGGGATGTAAACGTGAAACCCTAATTAAGAGCTAATTTCTATTTATCATAATACAACTAAGAACATCAATATAATTCAGCTTTATGTGTCTAATACAACCACCTTGAAGTCTTTAAGACCATTTATATATAAATATTTTTATTGAGGCAGTCCATTATAGCAGTTTAGAGTATAATTGAAGACTGATTTGTATAAATGTACTCAATGCCTTAGAAAATCACTGACTAGACATAAAGTGTATGAAAACAGTTCTACTTTATACTATTGTATTTATATTGATTATTGTATAAACTATCAACTATAGAAATTATCATAGAAATCATAATGGGCAAAACTGGTTAACATTGGTTAACTGCTAGGTGGTGATACAAGCAGGTTGACACAAGTTATTAATGATGGTGACCTCAGAAAGATCATAGGTATATTTAGTCAGTTGATGATTCCATGAGGATCGGAATGTCTGTTAGTGATTCTGGGAATAACGTAATCCCAGATGGGAACGAAAGTTGGCATTCACACAAATGTAGTGATCTCAGACAATGGTAATTCTAGAAGATGGGGAATCACATTTGATGATCACATGAATGTGGTGATCCCAGAAGATAGGAATCATATTTGATAATCTTGTGAATGTGGAGATAACAGTAAATGGGAATCACAACTAGAACACAAGTGATCCAACAAATAATGGTTACAGTTGGTGGTTCACAATGCACTAAAAACTGATCAAGAGTAACAATCCATTGAGTAATAAATAAAATTTGATTGGCATCTTGTTCTTCATTTATTATATAAACAAAGTTTGAAACCCAGAATCCCTCTGCATCCTTCTTTACTAATTTCAACCAAATATTATTTCAATATACATTAACACAAATATGTAAATAGGTAATTTTACACAAGTTTTATATGTATATTTACAGTAATTTACACTATAAGAATATCTTGTTACACAGAAATTAATTAATTAAACAGCTTTTCTTCTTCTTGTAATATAAACAAAGATAATAGATGACACAGTCAAGGCCATTACCAGAATGCTTATAATCACATAAATGTTTGTTATGCCACATATATAATTTGGTGCAGTTGTGGTAACTATTACAGAACCCAGGAATGTACAGTATAGCTTACATATCATCCAGTCTTAATAACATGGTACAGATATAGATCTTACTGCCAGATGTTCAATGATTCACATTCACTTATTAAAAATAGTCCGTAGAATTCTCGATGAAGTTTAATTTAACATACCATCGACTATACTTGAGTCATTATGAGAACTTGTTTAATATGCCTATCAACAAATAATCTGAACACTGTTTGTATTTCAGCCCAAAGATATCTGTGCATGAAATGAGACAGGAATTATAGCTCTCCATCTCAGGAAATTCAATTTATGCAAGATTTGTATGTTCCCATTATCCAAACTTATAATTCTCCTCATCGCAACAATTTCAGCAAACTTTTTCATTAAACGGTATAAACTGTAATCTTGTAATAAAAGACAAGTGGGAAGCCGCAAATATCTTATACACAATTCTATTACATCCTTCTTTTTTCTCTCCAAACTTTAGGGAGTTTTCTCAGTTCTATTATCTAAGTCTGCTTGTATATTATATTAATTTAAATTATTGTTTTGTTTTCTTAATGTTAATGTGGATTAAATCTGGAAAACAACCATTAGTTGTAGACATATTATCCAAGAATCTCATGAAATACAGATGTGGATGGAATCAAGAGATTTTCACATAATAACTTACAGTCCTAACATACAGGAAATAATAATTCAAAAGTTCACGACCCGAGTTCACCCAAAATAATACACCCATTTACTACATATTAAACCGATTCTTAGTGTATAATTTATATATTGGTTAAATTGCCCGTGATAAAAGTTGCCAAGTTGTTAATTATGTATTATGTATGCGTGTCTGTTTCTTATATATCTAGATATACCTGAGTACAAAGATAAAACATTTCAACATTGTACTGTTTAGTTAACTAGAACCTATACTTACACACAATAATATGGAAATCAACAGTTTACAGCCACACACGTAACATCAAACAAATGACACATTCAACACTTCACATCAACAAAATGAAAGAGTCATGAGGAATTATTTAAAATGTCTTTTTGCAAGGGGACAGCATGACCAAAGAGTCTACAGATTTTTATACATAAACTTTTAAAGCAACTGAATCAATATTGTGAAAATTAAATCACGTCCAGAAACATCAGTCCAAAATGGTTAAATTCTGTTCACTATTTACAAAGATATCATAAATTGAAAGTTTGGAAAAATTCAGCATCCTCTGCAGATGACATAAACACACCAGCATCACCTGGAAGGGTAAAATCTTTGATAGGTCTTTATTTAGTGAGATTTAATTTAAGCAGGGAGATAATCTATCGTTGATTTCTTGCTTTTATTTTCTTTAAAAAATGTAAAATAAACATTTTTAGAATGGATTCAGTTGTGAAAAAAGTGGATATTGTCCATAAAATTCATATTCAGGAATTGTTTAAGAATTATGGTGTTAGTAAGTGTGTAGATGATGACCTTTATATGGCTACCTGTAAATGTCTAACTGAACTTAGTGTTTATATAAGTTTATTTTAAGAAAATATATGTAGGAGGTAGACAACTGATCAAATTATTTATAGATACTACCAGTGAAAATTAACTTAGCTTCTGAAGAAAAGTTCATTCACACTATGACGGCCATGATAAATAGGTTCAATACATCAAGTGCATTACACGTATTTCCGGACATGAGAGTAAGCAAGCAAATTCTCAAGTCCCACCTTTACTATTAAAATTCTTAACATAGCAGGCGGCTTTAAAATTGTAAGAATTGGTTTAAAGGTTAATTGTGTGATTATATATTGAAGCAGATGTCAAATTAATTCTGTAACAAGAATTACGTGTACATGTAATCAAGCATGTCATTGTAAGTCAATTCCTAATCAGACACACAAACCTCGTTATTTGAATAACACAGTAAACTTTCACTTAATTCAATGGGGTAAAATGAAAGATTTTTATTTCAGAAGTAGGCTACCATACCAAAAATACGTCTCATAATTTAGAAAGAGTCTTTTTTTTAGTAAGCAAAGAAACCCACCCATGTGTGCTGGATAACCTTCTCCATTTCAATATATTATAAAGATGAATTCCAGAACATATACAGTAATCATTTTTAGATATTAATTTTTTGTTGGCTATTCTGAGGTTGAGATCTGCAAGCAGGATGAATTCATCTTTTATAATCAAATGAGATGATCATAAGGTTTGTCACTGAGTCAAGTGTGTAGTTTTAATCCCATGCTTGTACATAACTAGGACTAGGTTGACTTGCCTAACCCCATGGGTTTTCTACATTTGAGCGATTTATTGAAATCCTGAAAGATATGAGATGTTAATCAATAAAATAATATGCTTAAAGACATTTGGACAGGATTCTAACCAATTACATGTTTGAAATAAATATCTGAATTTCAGTTGGCTTCCTCCTTAGGATTACCTGAATGCTCCAAAAACAAGTCTGACCTGTACAAGAATTGTAACCAGACTAATGAACCAAGGTGAAGATTATATACTCCCACATATAAAAAGAAGAAAGAGAAAATTTTACAAGTTCAATAACTTGTGCTATTATGAGTTTTTTGACTATCACTATTCAGAAGCCGACCACCATCAAGACTTGTCGCATTGTGTCTTTTTTTTCCATTTGGAGTGAAGTCTGCATGACTGTACAGTGCAATCAATGCTTACAGCTAATCCCCAGATTTGATATTTGTTGTTTATTTCTAGCAGTGTCTGTGTTGTCCACAGGTTTTTCTTATCGGTTTTGCTTTGCATGTAGCGTGGTTCTCCTGCTATATATATATAATTAGGGATATCACAGATAATGAATAAGATGTTTGACAATGGATATAAATTAAGATATAAATTATGTACTCTGGCATTAAGGATTTCTTAATTCAACAGTTACCTCATCTTGGAGAAATATGCAAAATATCAAAGAGTATCAAAAATGATTATAAGTAATTATTGATCAAGACGGGCGTATATAATTCCTCAGAGATAAACCTCTGCAGACATCTAGACAGATCCAACCCAATTAGTGAACTGTATGTTTATACCTATATAGGAAAGGTAATCTGATGAAGACCATTCGTGTATTGTGTTTACTTGATGTAAGATAATATAACATTCTCTCATTACTTTAATCAATAATTCATTGTAATGAGGAGTTTTAATTAATTAGAACTTTTATCTGTGATAGACAGGATTATCCCCCTTCACCATCCCAGAC